CCTATGAACATTATGAAAGAAATTACCTCTTCCCATTATATTTAGTTTCGTGTGTTAGGACTTACTGTTGCAAGTCATTTGCTCAATAAATAGTCGAGCACCAAATCTGTGTGTGGTCATGAGCCAGACTCTGGGAATATGACAGGAACACAGAGGATCTTGTCCAGTAATGGGCTCTGGGTATGGCTGCCACACACGAGGGGTTTCTAACAAAGTCCCTTCACAGTAGATGGTGCCATAGCTGAACCTGTGGGTCAGCACCTTAGGTCCAACACACCTGCCCTACTTGAGGACCCAGCAGCAGGGCTGTGACTGATGAAACCGAGGAGGAAGGGAAGGACGAGGAGCAGGAGAGCAGGGTCCAGGGAAAGCAGCCTGCTCCTGGACTCGAGAGGCCTTGGCTCCGGTCCCAAGGAGTTCTCTTGCTTTGTAGTCAGTCAACCAGGTAAGAAAACATGTAAGCCCATGGCAGCAAAATAAACATGGGCACGGTCCAACACCCTTGTGTACAAGCAGGCCTGGAGTACTCAGGCACACTTTCTTCCAGCAATGACTTTTTCTCGTACTAATTTCCTTCTGCACAGAAGTCCTCCAACGTGGCAGACACATAAAAAAGATTCCACTTGCCTGCAATATTGTCACGTTGCACACCTTTGCCTATCAAAAATAGCAGACCTTTCTGGGTGACTGAACAACTGGATCTAGAATAAGTGAATACCATGAGCCCTTGCTGCCTCCCCCCCTCCCCTCCAGCAGTGTAAGCTTCCTAGAAAGGCCTCTGTGGCCTAGAAACTTTAATTTGTCCAGGAGTACACAGTGCAAAAGAGATAAACTTCTGGATATTCTGTCCAGTGCCTCAGCATACTGACTATCCTACCGTAGTTCATATGGAACTAAGATCAGACTCGGGGTCCAGGCGCAGATTATGGGATGGCAGTGGTCCCCACCTAAATGCCAAGTGTTCCTGCAGCCCCTGCTGATTCTGCCTGCCCCACCCCACCCCCAAGCCCTGGAGAAGCTCACACAGCTGCTCAGTGCCAGGCACAGCCCTGTCCAGATAGGTTAGGACAGCACGGTGTGATTTCCATGTACCAAGGAGCTGGCTTAGGTTTGGGTCCCTGCTGAGAGATGGCAGCTGGGTGGGGGGGAGGAAGAGGGAGGATTTCCTGATTACTTGACATACATAAGCCCGGCCTGAGTGCCAGTCCTGGCTCAGGTCACAGAAAACTCAGGCCCATCCTACTTTCCTCCCTTGGTCTCCCATGCTGTCTTATCTGGCACTTAAGTATGGGCTCTGAAACTGTGCCTGTCACTCCAGAGGAGTGGGGATTCCAAAAGGCTCCTAGGAATGAGTGACTCAGTCAAGGCTGAAAAGAACCGACTGTCCAGATGGGCACGTTTGCTTTGGTACATCTCACAAAGCACTATGCCATCCCTTTGCCATCTCTGTTGACACACGAAGCCCAGCTGCAGGCACAGCATTCTGCTCCTAGCTTTCCGCCTCCTTGGACATGCCGTCCGTCTTGTACCAGGGTATTCTGGGCAGTCTCCTCACTTCATGCAACCATGTGCCACCTCTGAGGACCCCCATATGAAGCCTGAGGTCAAAGTCTGTCCTCAGGGCACCTTTTTTGTTCTCCCTCTGCTAAAGAAAGGACCGACGGAGTTCTGTGGCATTCATGCCTCTTCAGACAAAAGGAAAAACTGAATTCGCTGATATTGCTGTACCAGTCACATGTTCCGCTAATATTGACAACCCTTGCTGCTTCTCTCTAATGTTTTAGGTCCCTCTCCGACCTTTCATTCCAGTGAGAGAGTCTCAGGCTACCCACCCACCCTTGCAAGTGTCTGGTTTGCATGCACCTGTACCTTCCATTTTGTTTACTCACTGGCCACCCTGAAGAATTTCTTTTCAAGAGTTTTCTTTTTCAAGCAACCCAAACCCCTTCAAGACCTGCCCCCAGGCCAATGGCTGTGGAGGCAGCAGAATGTGGAACTGTTTGATGTCCCTAGGACCCTGCGAGAATGACAATGACCAGCAGGCTCAGTCATGCTGCTGAAGTTAACCATTAACAGTTTAAACACCAGCCATGGAATCTGCAAATGGATAAATACCATATTGTATGTAGGAGCCAAAGAATTTGTTCAAAAACAGCCATTCAATAGGTGTCAAGAGTGAGGCCTTACAGAGCAACACAGAAGGGCCAACCACATACATATTCTGGTGTTTCAGAAACCTCCCACAGCAGAGAGACTAACTAAATCTATTCTCCTACCAAGCCAAACATTCCAGGTGCTGCGGAGATCATTAAGAAGAAGCTGTGGGCTATGGACTATCAGAAAACCCAGTCGCCTAGCAGAGATGGAAGTTCATACGTTCAGAAACCCCAGGTCCTTCCAGCTCAACAGGCAGGTGAGGCTACATTAGGAATAATGCAGGTGATTTCTGAGCTCGTCAGCTCCCGATGGGCTTCAGGCCCTGGGGAAGGGCACATGCCTCCCTGGGAGCACCAGAGATGACTTTCCAACCTGTCTCGCTGAGACCCACCGGGCTCTGCTAGGCCTGGCTCCTTCACCTCACACACAAGACAATGCACCTTGTGAAGTCAAGAAGAAGTCCTCTCCCCAATTTGAATTCCAGGGTTTAAGCGGGAGTTGGACTCACTAGTCCCACTGCCCCCACCACCACCACCACCCTCATAGCAGTGGGGGAGATGACATGGTCCAGGAATAAAATACGCAACAGACACCTCAGTTACTCAGGATCTCCTTCCTTCCCCCATTCCCCCAGTGATCAAGTCTTCACTGCTGAGTCCAGGTGGTCTTGTTCAGCTCTTCCTACTTTGAGAAAAGTATTTGCTGGCAGCCTCCTCAGTTCTCACGCAGATCTAGACATTGTCAATCAAGTTCCCTTGACAGCAACCTTAGGAATCCCAACTTGGGCTCAAATTGCTCATGTCTGTGCCTGTAATCCGGAGGCATCACCAAAGAGTTTGTTCAAAACAGCTACATGATAGGAATTAGAGCTGAGTTCCCTCAAAAATAATTAGACGTTTATTTTCTTAAAATTGCCTCAGAAGACAATGCATTCATTGCATTCATTCAGCAAAATATAAGGTATACCTTCTATTATATTTACATAATTATATTGTTATAATACACTGAAATTTTAATTAAGCTAGACAATGCTATTTGTTTCCTAGATCATTTTTAAATTAAAAAATAAACTCTGCTTTCAAAGAGATTAGGAGAAATTATTCCAAATCCTTATAAATTCTAACACATAATGAGTTCCTATAGTTTCTTAAATATACTGTCTATAAAAGGATAGAAGGGATAAAAATCCATATTGGAGGAATTTACCACCTGCCTTCATGTCAATAAGAGCTCAGAGTGCAAAAATCAGTCATTCAGACTCATAGGAAGCCACCTTTTTTGTTGCTATTGTTGTTTGCAAAAATCCACTCTGGCTCATAACTGGGGATCCAAAAAAGGATTTGGGGGAGGTCTAAATTTGTGCAGCTGTCCCAATGCAACTCATAGCAGAGATGAATGCAAAAGTTTCTGTAAGACCATGGAATGGAGAGTAGACACTTAGAGGACAAATTCAACCTCTTCACATGGTATTTATAGCAATTAGCGTATTGCATCCTCTCTGTCTCTGTTAGGAAAGCAGGCTGGGTGTTAATTGACTCATAACCACAAATACAAAAACTCAGGTGAGGTCAAAGAAAAGCTCTCCAAGGAGTTATGCTCAGTCAATAAACTCAGACACGAGACAGCTGTGGCTGCCCGGCATCTCTGGATCACACTTCATATCTAAAGACAAAGCCTATCTGCTTCAAGGCTGACTGTAACATAACTTGCTTGAAGGCCAGTTGGGAATATTTCCAAGCAAGGGTGGACCCATTCTAGCTGTGTTTTTAACAAATAACAACTGGGGTTCAGCCAGGAGCTTCCCCGCCCCATCCCCTCCACCTCCCACCCAAACTGTGCTCTACAAGGCAAGCTTTAAAGAAATACAGGGAAGAAAATGCTCCAGGGAACATGGGGCCCCCTGGGCCACTTCCTAGTAAACCCTCCAAGGAAAAAACACCTCAACACCAAGTTCAAGGGTCAAGATGGAATCCCTCAGAACCCCATCATGCTATAATTAAGCTCATATTCTCTTCAAGTCCCTCCTTTCAATACAATGCTTTGAGATGCTGGCACTGATTATGCGAACCACATTCCTGCTGTCCTCCCTGACAGGCTTTACCCAGAGTGGGCGCAGGAGGGCACTTGCAAAACAGGAGGAAGAAGGCGGCATTCTGCTCCTGGTAGGCTTCTGGTTTGCTTTCTTTTTTTCTGTTGGCTTGCCAGCCCTGTCTGTTTCCCCTACCAAGCTTCTTGTTCTCTCTGGCTGTGGCAGTTCCTTCTAGAATCATCTAAGTCCAGTTTTCCATTTTCCTAATAGTCACAGAACCAACTTCATGTTCCCTCAGCCAAACAGCCCCCCAGCTCAGAGATGGGGCTCTCCTCTAGGCTCAAAGCCCCAGCACCATGGAGGAGCATCCCACTGCCCCATCTCAGAAATCTGAGGTTCAGCCCATGTGCTTCATCTCCAAACATCTAACTTGTAACAAGTCCAATATCTTTCCTTTGTCCCCCCCAGACTCGGGGGTTGGGGAGGGAGATTGGCTGCTTCCTTGTTGTTGACGCCTCCATTGATTTTTGTTCTCTTCCTGTCTTCAGTTACCTGGCTAAAAATTCTTATTTATCTCTGGGTGTAGTCACTGTCTCCTGCCTGGACTGGACTGTCTCACCCACAGTTAGGTCCTAAGCCATGCTAGGAAGGAGAGCAGGAATGTCCAGACCCCCTCTGAGGGCAATGGGGAGGGGTGGCCCTCCAGCCCCACCATGCCCAACAGTCTCATCTGGTGTATCTCTGCAACCTCTATGCATGCAGAGCCCAGGTCAAATTGAAAGGACATGAATGAAATAAATACATGGCCACTGGAGCTTAATTACTACATAAGCTTGGGGGCCGGCTGCTCCTTGCTGGCCAGAAGTGAGCTGAACGGGAGCATCCTTGCCATTGGTTTTCGAGAGAAGATGATCTTGTTGTAGTTTGCCATGGAGTTGTCTCTGGCATCCGACTGGAAATGCATAGTGTCTTGGATGATGGTGGGACCAGATACAGTGTCCCACGCTGCTGACATGCCCTCTGACTTCATGTCCTTGAGAAAGTTGCCAGAAGACTTGGTCCACTTTCTCCTTTTCAGTTGGGTGGTGCTGAGCGGCTTGCTCGGCCTCGAAGTAACTTGACTTTCCTCCAAGGCCTTCATGCATTCTAGTTCTCTAGCTTTGCTTTTCTCAATGAGTTTTTTCACCACGGGGGAGATATATGTGACGTAGGCTGGCCAAAAGTTACAGTTTTCAGCCAAGTGCTGGGGGAGTTTTGAGTGTCCTACCAGCAAAGAGAAATACAGACTATTTAAAAGCACACACAACGATTCAATTCTTTAAAGAATTAACCACATTTTAGAGCATCATAGCTCATCCACCATTTGTATTCAGAAAATAAAATTGACTCAAAGTGAGGAGACAGAAAGCTGTTCCACAGTGTAGGTCAGACAAAGAACAACAACAGGTAGGTGCAAGATGGGGCACTTGGAGTCAAGCAGGCTTGATCTCGGCTTTGCATGATTGTTTAACCTCTCAGCTATTTTTTCACCACTGAAAATATTACCTTAAGGTAACTGTAAGAATTTAAAAAGGTGATCTATTTTAGAGACCTGGAACAGTGTAGCCTGGGCCTTAAATGCATGAACTTGGCTCTTACACCACCTGAGTTCAAATTCCTTTTCTGTCCCCTGAATCGATGTGAGCCTTGAGCAACATTTGTAGTCCTTCCAAACTTCAGTTGCCTTCTGAATAAGAGGACTAAGAGAATTCATAGATCTTCCATGTAGAATAAAGGAAGTAACTCCTGTAAAGCTGTTAGCATAGTACCTGGCATATAGTAACAGAATGTGGTAATTATGCATATTCTGTCTAAGACTCCTTGCCTATTTCACTTAATACGTGTTTACACTTTTCATGGGTATTACCTCTATTTCATGGACAATGAGACTGAGACTGCTTGGCTTGTACAACTGGCCCATGACAGGTTGGCTCTCAGGTGTAAGAAGCTCAAAATTCCATTAGCTTGTCACTATAGTTATTGCCAGAAGCTGGCTGTTTGAGGTTAGAGGGGTTTTGCTGGCATCTTTACCCATTCGTTTGAATAAGCAGCCTGTTCCTCTGTAGCTACCCAGTCATGGGTGGGTCCTTCCTGCTACTTCCCTTTGCAGCTTCCCTCTGTCTACCAGAAATGTCTCCAGACTTCTCTCTCCAGCAGTTTCTACCATCCCCTGTTTAATCAAGTGATAGAAAGACCTCCCTAATTTTGTATTTCTTGTGTCATTTCAGTAGGAATTTGGAAGGGGGGAGGGTAGTTAAAAGTTTCATCTTGCCAACTTTAACCTGAATTCAGTAAAATACTGTGAAGTAGAGGTAATTAAAAGAAGATACAGATTTTACAGTGACTCCCAGGCTGTCTTGTGGATTTTCAGGAGCAGGAGCTCATCTGAACATAGATCTGTTAGCGAAAAAAAAAAAAAAAAAAAAAAACCTGCTGTGGAATGCTCCAGAAGGTGCCTTCTCCCTGCAAGAGTTGTATATTATTCTGCCTGGGGAAGGCAAGATCTGCACACATCCTGTATTGCCAAAACAATGCAATGTGCAAAGGGCTTGCTGGTCAGGGCATTGGTGGAACTGGGAGAGGTGAACTGAAATCATCTGCAGCGGATGAGCAGCAGCTTGCTCCCTTCTGGATATGCTACATTCTCTGTCACTGTAACAAGAACAGCCACCTCTGTGTCTTCCCCACAGAACCCTCCCTGAAACCTTTGCCACCCCCCACTGCAGAGCTCCCACTGCAAACCCTCCAGGCCTACCTTTTGTCTTTACCTTCTTTGCATCCATTTGGTGCAATTCTAGAGGTTTCCTCACCTCATAGTTCCAAACACCTTTAGGAAAATACACTGGTTAGCCAGGGCCATCTCAAAAAGTGACCTGCGAGGAAAGACTAGTAGCCATTCTGACATCCCACGGACGAGGGTCTCTACTGGGGCGGGCTGGCAGTAGGCCGGGTGAGCAGCACTGAGGTCATATCAGTCTCTAAGCTCTGCTTTCTGGTCTACTAGCTCCCAAGGAGTGAGTGCGAGGTAGACCTGGGGCTATTCAAAGGCAGGACTACAAGAAATGGTAAAGAATAAAATGCCCCACTTCAAAACCATGCCATGTTCTCTGCCAGTGTGCAAGTGTGGTCACGTCACCGCGTGTGGGCAGAGTGCCCACACTGAGCTGCATGCTTCTGCCTGGCATGAGGAGAGGACATGGCAGAGGTGGGCAGCTGCCACAAGCCAACTGCAGGCCCAGGCATGAACTGGCATGCTCTACGCAGAGACGTGTATGGGCAATCTGGTGGGAACAGTGGTCTCCTGGGTCTCAAACTTGAGGGTGCATCTACCTAGAGGGTTTGTTAGAACATAGATTGCTGGGCCAATCCACATAGATGCTGATTCATCAATTAGTATTCTCAACAAAATATGGGGAGGGAATGCTAAAGATTTGTAAGGTTTTATCAACTACACCTAGCAATAAGAAGCAGACCAGGAAATCTTTCCAGTCCTAATACGTGTGCATTTATCCCAAATTCACTATTTCCTATGTTCAGTTTTGCTGTCACTGTGGCCTGATTGCTTAACATGTGAAAGTGCATGGAACATTTCCACATTTACCAGCCAGTCCCCAAGAATATAGCCTCAGACTTAGTTTTTTATGAGGTTTTTTTTTTTTTGATGAATAATTACATACATCTCTGCGTTAGGTTTAAGGAGTACCACAAAATGGTGTGCTTACATATATTGTGAAATGATACAATGGGTTCCTCTGACACCCCATCTTCTCACTTAGGTACAATATAAAGCTTAGGTACAATATCAGCTACAGTGATGTGGTGGTACAGTCCACCCTACTACTAATTTACCTTAGACCTTTTGAACCCTAATATACCTTATACCTTTTATACTAATTTACCTGTTACCTTTTGACCCCTTACTCCAATTTCCCTTCCCCACCCTCTGTCTCTGGTAACTAAAATGTCTTTTCTATAATTTTGGCTTTTTCTCCCTTTCTATGCCAATATATGTGAAATCAAGCAGTATTTTTTTTTCTACTTATGTTACTCAGATCATTTGCTCTAGTTCCCCCTTTTCCTGGCTGAATAATAGTCCACAGTTTCTTTATTCATTCCTCTGACAATGATACTTAGATTGTTTCTATCTCCTGGCTATTATAAATCATTGTTTTGCAACCATCCCAGGCCAGGTAGGGTCACCATCAGTTCAGGAAGCTTAAAAGAAAAACTTGGGCACTATGGCATCGTCTCTGAAGGTTTTTTTAATAATACGCAGGGGAAATAGCCCACAGGAAGGCAACAACTTGGGCCCCTAATATCTCTATGCACCGTTGGAAGGGACTTTCTCTGGAATTCTCTCATGGTCTCTTATCCTCACAGCCGTCACTTGTCCTCTCCTAGACCTGCTGTCTCTGAGTGACACAGCCCTTATCGCCCGCCTCCAGGCCCAGGTGTGCCCACTTACACATGCCCACACCAGACTCCAGGTGTCCACCATCAGGCCTGCATGCCTGTGCCCACTCTCCCAAGCACCTTCTGCATTCAAGGCCACCATCTGCATAAAAGCCTGACCATCTGCACATACCCCACAATAATGCTGCTATAAATATAGGAGTACAATGTATTTCCAGATTTTTGTTTCATTTCCATTTCATCCCAGAAATGGAATTGCTGGATCCTCCAGAGTTTTGAGGATCTCCTGTACTCTTTTCCATTTCAGTTTCTTTGTGTTTGTGTGTATCTAGACAACTTTTTCTGCCTTTCTTTTTTATATATTCATTATATCATCCTTCAATTTTTGTACAATGTATGAGTTCCTCATGAAATCCCCACCATCCATTCCCCCATGCACTATCACCATAGTCCCCTGTGTTCTTCCCCCTCCTTTTCAGGGTCTTTTCCCTTCTTCGGCCCCCCCCCCTCCAGAATGTCTCTGGTTATCAGTTTCTGTTAAGTTCCCACATGTTGCTGGTGTTATTGGTCAGAAGACCACACTTTGAGAACCATCAACTTGGGATAGTGCTTTAATAAGTGCTGACTAGAATTATCTGAGGAGCTTGCTAAAACACTGACCGTGGGCCCCATCTCAGGCTTCTGATTCAGTAGGTTTGGGAGACCTGAGAGTCTGCATGTATAAGAAACTCCCAGAGTCTGCTCACAGGCTGCAACATCTGTGAGGGTTGAGGGTGCTCCTGTGTGAAGCTCACCCTCAGGCTTCATATGTGAGACAAGCAATTCCAGCTTTTCACCCTTTTTTTCCTCCTAGTCAAAGAGCTATTGTAGAATGAATTGAGCTTATCATTGACACCACATTTACAAGGAAAATTATTCCATTCTATGAAGTAAGTTATTCACACTTTCAGCACTGTATTATAATACAACAAAGAATATCATCTCAGAGATGTATACTCTTTAAAAATAAAGAGCTAGTTTTCATTAAACCTACTCTGATCCAAGCCTTACTGAGTTGCTATTGTTAAGTCTTAGTGGCAACCTTCATTACAATGCATTTTTGGGAGAATTCAAAATACCAGTTTTCCAGGGTAGGATACTCAAACAGTCCTCTAATCAAGAGCCTCCTGTAATGACAATTTTTTAAAGGGAAGTTGGAAGCATCTTAGTCCTTCCTTTAAGAGCTCAGGAGTTTAAGATCTCAGGATCTTGGATCATCTATACCAAGTCCCCAGTAACAAAGAGAATATCACCCAGCCCATGCTGGTTCGAATTCCTGACTTACTTTGCCCATTTGTAAAGCCATCAGAAATGTGTTTGTACTTCCCAACTAATCATTTATGCTAGTTGGTGGGAAAATGTTTTGGGCTAACAGAATTTTGCATAATTTCTTTCATCCTTCTTTCAAACTTTCTAAAGTTAATAAACCCTAAAACTTCATCTAAGTCAATTAGCAAATCATTTGTTCTGACATCTCTGTGTATGTGTATGCAATTGAGCAGGTGAAGACTTGCTCGAAGTCTTTCACCATGTCACTGGACTCAGACAAGAGCCCTTTGGGCTGACAGAACAATTCCATAGAATAGTAGGGTTTTTCTCATATCCACTGATGCAGCTACCAAGAAACTATAAAACCAGAGGGAATGTTTGAGACCGCCTCAAACTCATAGGAGGACTTGTTTGTTTGAAAATAGAAAGAGATAAATAGTTGACATTAAGTCTGAAGACAAGCTGTGGGCTTTTATAATTTCCTTCAATTCTGGCACAAAGGTTCCATTTTGTCTCCCTATAAATGAAATGCAAACCAGCAGTCTACAGACAGAAACAGCATTGACGGGAGGGCCAGGAGGCATAACATTGCACTGGTCCTCTTGTTTCTACTCCAGGCACAAAGGACCATGTTCAATCCACTGGATTTTCAAGCCCAACTCCTCCCACTCCCCACCCAACCACTTAGCCCACCATTTCCAGAAGCTAGTCTGAAATGGGTCTAAGTATACAGGAGTGGAACTCTGTTTCCTCACTAGCAAAATGAGAATAAGAAGGAATTCCCCTCACAGAAGCAGGGCTGCTGTGACAAAATGTCTGGAAACTAAAGTGCTCCTAAAGCAGCAGCCCTCTGCTGCATATTACAAATACTGGGGAATCTTTAAATACCTGGCTCCCACCTGAAGCAGTGTGATTTAGCAGACATGGGATGCAGTACAGGCATCAGAATGAAAAGCTGTATTCTAATGCACAGCAAAGATTGGGACTCATGGTGCTACAATCAACCCCCAAAACACTCAAGATTTACAGCATATTAACTATGTAGAGATAGGAAACAGGTCCAGGAAACCATTATAGTCCTTTCGTAGCTCTAAGACACTTATTTTCATTCAAGAATTCCTTATTTTATATATTCAGTCCTGCATATCAGTGACCTTTAAATATTTGAAAGCACCATGGAGTATTTCCATTATCATCTGCCAGTCCCGGAATGGTCTTAGATCAAAAGAGAACTGGTGCCTTTAAGCACTGAGCTAAGAAAACTGTGGCTGTGGATGGTATTCTCATGCAAAGCTGATCTCACCCTCTGCTTCTGGCCACAAGCTGCATCCTTATCTCAGGAAACCAACTTGTAAAAGTATTTTCTGGGTTCCAGGCAGGATTCACAGCTTAGTGCTTTGGCACAAGTCAACCCCACTTGGACTTTGTGCCCCGCTAACTCCATGAGAGTGTTTATTTGTACACTTGTGACAGGCAAGACATTATCTCTATCCAGTGTTCCTAAACTGTATCCCCAACAATCTCTTAAGATACTGATAGGTGTTACCTAAAGGGAAAAGTCATCGATGGCAAGGGTCACACTGTGGGTGCATAGATCATTAGATTCAGGGGCACCGTGAACCATGCAATGAAAATACAGCAGACCTAGCCTCAGGCAGGTACATTTGAAAATACTCCATGCTCCGTTAACACAGGCTCTGAGCACCTACACTATATTCACTTGTTCTGCAGATCAAGGAGAGTCACACGTTTATTTCCAGGGAAAATGTTTATGTTGTTGGACACTGAAACTTCCCTAGTCTTGGCTTTGGAAAGCATCTGAGAATGCATTGATGTAAGACGATGGAAAGATGACCTTGCTTAGGATCTAGCTGGGTCTTTAGTTGCTCTCTTGCTCTGAAAACAACCTCAACAGGTCAGGAGTCGCACTGAAGTGTCCACACACAGAAAAATAGTCAACATAAGAGCCTAATTGCTACTGGCCTAAGCACCAACATAAGGGCCTAAGACCTACTTCCTTGTCTTTAGCCTTTCCTGCCTCTTCATGCCAGTCCGCAGCATC